CAGGGAACTTGGAAATGCCCCTGAGAAAACTTGGGAAGGCCTTCCGCAGAGGCATTGCATGTTAGCTGCAGCCAAGTCTGGGGATTTTGACTGGGGTGTGCTGGTGCTTCTGCTGGGACTTAAAGCTGGAGGTCTCTGGTCAGTGGCCATAGGCACCACCTTTTTTTTTTCTTTTTTTTGGCTGATGGGTGCTTGCAGGTGTAAAAAACATCAAACAACACACTCCCCCCACCAAAAAACCCGGCACTTTACTTTTAACTCAGTGCGAGCCCCGCACATGTCCAGAAGAGGCAGCACATTGCTTCTGTCTGGCTCTACAGCATCTGTAAAGATTGGATGTTTTAGTGGGGCTTTTTTGGCACTTTTATGTAATAGCTGGTTGAATCAGCTTTAGCTAAAAGTGCCAAAAACCCCCTCTGAAGCACCTGATCTTTATAGGTGCTGCAGAGCCAGGTTGAAGTCATGTGCTGTTTCTTCCAATAAAGTGATTTAAAAAAAATCCCAACAACTACAAGCAGCTCCATGGGTGCTGAGCACCTGCTAATTTTTTTTGGTGGGCACTTGAGCCCCAGAGCACGCATGGAGTTGGTGCCTATGTTAGAGGTCTTTACCCACCACTCGGTCAGACTGATCACCATATTTGTAGTCAGAAAGGAATTTTACCCCATGGACAGACTGGTACAGACTGTGGGGGCTTTTGCCTTCCTCTGTGGTGGGAAGCATGGGCCTCTACCTGGGATCTCTTGAGTGTATATTAACAACCTTTTACAGAAGTAGGGACATTGGGCTGTTGTGGTCCCCTTGCTTTACCTGTGGCAGGTTAGAGTGTTATATCTCGTGTTGTGACAGGGCTGACTTTAGTTTTACTAAGAGGTTAGATTATGGATTTGTATAGGATGGTTTGGATAGGGATGATCCTGCCTCAGGCAGGGGGTTGGACTAGATGACCTCTGAAGGTCCTTTTCAGCCCATCGCTAAGATTCTCTGAGAAGCTGAGAAAGCTCCAGAGCAGGCTCTTGGTGTCTTATTGCCCAGATGACAAAGCTCTGTGGGCTGAATCTGGGCAGGGGTTAAGCACCTCTGGCCTTGTCTATGCAACCCTTGTGGTGGTAGGTGCTATATAAACACATTGTGAGAGATAGTGCAAGACAGTCTTTGCCCCCAAATGTTTACCCTTAACATAGGGAAGGAGGGAGAAAGAGAGGCAGGGAGAAGTAAATGGGGTTCACCCAGGTTACCAACAGGTTAGGTCTCTCGAGTCAAAGCACAGTGCCCACCTACAACACCTGGTCTTTACCTTTCATTGCAGCAAGGAGCGAAGAGTATGAACTTCTGCTTTATTTGTAAATGCTTGAAAGAATAATTGCTGCAGGAAAGGAATAAACATGTTTTTGGCTGAGCAGTTAATTCAGTTTAGGGGCAGATCATAGAATCATGGAGCTGGTGGGGACCTTGAGGGCCACATGGCCTAACCCCCTGCCTGAATGCCATTCCTAAACCAATCAAGGCAGTACCCAGATTTAGGCTAGAGACTGCTTGATCTGCTGCCACTGAGCTATGCCACTCCCCACATCAGGGGGACTGTGACAGGTTGCAACCACTGGGGGGTCCATGGCACCTCTCAATGAAGCTGCGACTCAAACTCTGGCTCAAACTCTATGGCTTCACCCTCTAGTTCACTCACTCACCATGCCTTGATCTTATTATTATAAGTGTTTAAGGGAGGCTACCAGCAGGCCTCAGAATAAGCCTCAATCTTACAAGTTCCCCCAACCCCCAGGGTCTCATTCCAGCCCTCCATCTTAATAAATCACTCCCAGCTTCACTAGGCACCCTTAGGGTACCTGTAGCCTTAGGGGGAAATTACATGGCTCCTTTCCTCCCCTACACCACACCCCAAGCCTTGCAGGTGGTACAATAATGATGTTCGCTCTGTCAGGGCCTTGGCTTCCCTAGCCTTCACCCCTTAATCTCGCTAGGTCAGTTTGCCTAGGCCCACTACACTGGATCTGGCTTTGAGGAACTAGTTTCAATCTATCACCTTCACTTAGGGTCCCTGGCCTCTGTCCACTAGGCCCCTGGTCCATGATGGCTATGCCCTTCTGGCACCAGGCCCCTGGCCGCTATCTTGCTGGGCCCCTCTTGGGCACCGGGCCTCTGACCCCCATCTGCTCTGTATCCTTGTACTGCCTTTCCAGGGCTCAACTGGGCCCACCCTGGCAAGGGCTCCAGGCAATCACACGTCTTACAGGCACTAATGGGACTTCCAAAACCACCCCTGCAGTGCTCCCTGGATGGGCTGCCTTTATCTTAAAGTCACCATTTAAAGTAAACAGGGAATATTTGGGAATGAGCATAAGGTCATTTTCCTGATGTACAACAGGTTCCTTTGTAATGTGACTGATTGTTGTGGGATTGTTTTCCCTCAAGTTGTCCATTTCTAGCTGTGAGGTCTGGATGTGGTGCTGTGGGGTGCTGGTTTACTGCGCGAGTTGGGAATCAGGACAAAGCTGTGATGGGATGCTGGGAGCAGGGGGAGCAGTGGAGGGCGCTTGAACCTCAATTCTGCAAAATGATTGTGAGCTAGTGGTGTCCTTTGTGAATATGCCTAATTGCTTGTGCCCTACAGCATGCAAAATCAGGGATCTGAGATTATAGAAGGGCAGGAGAGGTGAATGGTGGGGAAGAAAAGTTAAGAATCAACCAACAGAGACTGGTAGGGGTCACATCAGGGTTACAATCTGCTGTTATTGTTTGAGTTGAAAGCAGGGAGACTGTAAATGCAACAACAGGATCCCTAGCAATGGCCTAGATTCTCATATCAAGCCTAAGACTTTAAAAAAACACCTAGGGGCTCTGGGTACCCAATCGGAGACACTGTCAAGGGGTTTGATTATCACAGTGCTGGGCAGCTGCCCTTTGGAAATCAGGATTAAATATGGTGGTCCAGCATCTCTACTCATATTTTAATGTCTTAACTGTGTGAATGTGTGTCTGCATGCTCATGTGAACATGCATGCATGTGTGCATTATGTGAGGATGTGTGTGCCTGAACTAGACTCCTAAAAATGAGGTCCCACAACTTTATCTATATATACTATATGTGTGCATATGTGTATGTGTATACAGGCACGTGCGCACACACATACATACAATATATGGTACAGGAAACCCTCGTTATTCACGGGTTCGGCATTCGCAGTTTCAAATATTTGCAAATGCCAAACCCGCATTTTAAATACACTTTATACACTTCCAGGAATTCCTTGGGAGTAATGTGCTTGCTGCCGCCAGGCTCCTGCCTCCATGCCCCCCGCCAGCTGCCAGGGGCACTGCACTCATGAACATAGACGGCATTCATAAACACAGTGCCTTATTCGCGGATTTTGCCATTCCCAGGGGATATGAGAATGTATCCCCTGTGAATGGCAAGGGTCACCTGTATATATTATGGATATGTAATTTATATGATACATAAAGATATAGATCTCTCTATGTAACATATATATGTAATAAATGTGTGCGCATATATGTGTGTGTGTATACATATATACTGTATTATCTTCTTTTTTGGCAGTCCCTCCCAGTTCAGCATGATTGTCTTACTTGTGTGACCGAAGATGGCTCATGAGGTCTATCCAGGATTGACAGACCCTGCTGCAGTTTGGACATGTGCTTCCATGTGGGGTGTGTGGTATATGGTATACATCCCATATATATATGCATATACACACACACATACACACCCCTGCACCCCCACACCATATATATACACATATACATGCACACAAACACATATATATTTAATGTATAAACATGTAGATATTACATATGTAATGTATATGACACATATATACACATACACACATTATACTTATGTATATTTGTGTGTGTGTATCTATCTAGATAAATACAGGTATAGATCTATGCAGATATAGCTATATAGAGATATATACAATAAGTGCGTGTGCTCACACGCACGGAGCAGACCGCGCCGAGCCGTGCGCACAGCGCAGCCGTGCCCCAGGCGGAGCGGCGGAGCGCTGGGCCACACTGTACCGCGAGCTCAGAGCCCCTCCTGGGGGCGTGGCCTACTCTGGCGGGGGGCGGAGCTTGGGGCCGCGTGGGCGGAGCCCGCTGAGCCCCCGCGTGCGCCCGGGTAGGGGGGCGGGGCCGCGCAGC